CTTTGTGCAAACAACATTGTTTGTGAAGATCAAGTTTTTCATGTTTGTTTTAAAGGTTTTTTTTTTTTGAAGTGGGCACTGGTGGTAATAATTTTGAAAGCATTTTCCCATGCTGTATTTTCACATAACTAACTTTCTGGGAACTTGTAACTTTTAACAAATTTACGCAGTTTTTTAGTTTGAAGCTTTTGTTGTGTTTTCTGCAGTGTGGTTGTGCTTTTGCATCATTTGAAACAGATGACGATTTTTCTTCACAAGGTCTAACATGCTTAAGGTTCCAATACTCATTTGACTTGCAGCCAGGGAGGTAGAGGGTGTGTGTTTATTATTATTCCTAGTTATGCATTATTTTCTAATAAACACACACCCTCTACCTCCCTGGCATATCCCTTAATGATGTCCCATACCAAGTGATTCAAAGGAGGTGCAGAAATCAGGGCATCACCTGCCATCCAAAAGAGGAGGAGTCTAGCTAATGACTGGTTAACCAATAGTGGGTTGGTGGTTTTTTTTTCTCTCCTTCCTTATTAGATCTTCCTTCTTAACTGTGTTGATACCAATTTATTACATAGCCAGTGTAAAGTATGTGGTGTACCTTTTCAATAGAAATCTAATACTACAATACAATCCTTCCCTCCTCCCCTCTCTTTCCTGGCATCCAAAAAGGTTAATAACTGCTTTAATATATTCCTGTATACAACAGGGCACAACATAGACGATCTAGGGGAAAAGGAAATGGTTTCAGATTTTTGTATTAAATATACAGTAAGTCGAGAAAATGCAAATTCAGTGACGATGCTTTTTCATACTTAGTCCTGGTGTTCGTAATGTTACCTCCTTTTTGAAATATTGGGTTTGTCTACCAAGATTTTGGACTGAATACTGCTCAGGGTACTGTTCTGTGTCAGCAGAACTCCTCCCTGCTCAAGCAGGGCCACCTAGAGCTGGTTGCCTAGGATCATGTCCAGACAGCTTTTAAACATCTCCAAGGATGGAGATGCCACAACCTCCCTGGACAACCCTTGCCAGTGCTCAGTCACCCTCACAGTGAGGAAGTGTTTCCTGATGTTCAGACAGCACCTCCTGTGTTTCAGTTTGTGCCCATTGTCTTTTGTCCTATGACTGGGCACCACTGAAGAGAGCCTGGCTCAGTCTTCTTTGCAACCTCCCTTCAGGTATTTATGGCCACTAATAAGATCCTGCCCATGCCTTGTCTTCTCCAGGCTGAACAGTCCTAGCCCTCTCAGCCTTTCCTCATAGGAGAGATGCTCCAGTCCCTTAATCATCTTTGTGGCTCTTCATTGGACTCCGTCCAGTATGTCTTTGTCTCTCTTCTACTGAGGAACCCAGAACTGGACACAGGAGTCTAGTGTGTGGCCTAACCAGTGCTGAGCAGAGGGGAAGGATCTCCTCCCTTGACCTGCTGGCAATACTTTTCCTAACGCAGCCCAGGATACCGTTAGCTTTCTTTGTGGCAAGGGCACATCACTGGCTTGTGTTCAATTTGCTGTCCACCAGAATCCCCAGGTTCTTTTCTGCCAAACTCCTTTCCAGATGGGTGGCCCACAGCATATACTGGTGTGTGGGGTTGTTCCTCGCCAGGTGCAGGACTTTGCACTTCTTCTTGCTGAGCTTCCTGAGGTTCCCGTCAACCCATTTCTCCAGCCTGTCAAGTTTGCACTGGATGGCAGCATGCCCATCTGGCCTATCAGACACTCCTTCCAGTTTTGTGTCATCTGCAAACTTGCTGAGGGTGCGCTCTGCCTTATCATCCAGATCACTAATGAAGATGTTAAACAGGACTGTACTGGACCCAGTATAGAACCCTGAAGTACACTGCTAGTTACTGGCCTCCAACTATACTTTGCAGCACTGATGACCATGCTCTGGGTCTGGCTGTTCAGCCAGTTTTCAGTCCACCTCACTGTCTGCTTATCCAGCCCCTGCATCAACAGCTTGTCTATGAGGATTTTATGGGAAACAGTATCGAAGGCCTTACTGAAGTCCAAGTAGATGCTATCCACTGCTCTCCCCTCATCTACCAGGCCAGTCATTTCATCGTAGAAGTTTATCGATAAAGTTGGTCAAGCATGACTTCCCCTTGGTGAAGCCATGCTGACTACTACTGATGATTTTCTTGTCCTTTTTGTGCCTCAAAATGGTTTCCAGGATGAGCTGCTCCATGACCTTCCCAGGGATTGTGGTGAGACTGACAGGCCTGTAGGTCTCTGGGTCCTCTTTCTTGCCCTTCTGAAGATAGGAGTGATATTTGCTTTCCTTCAGTCTTCAGTCACTTCTCCCAGTTGCCATGATTGATCAAAGATTATAGAAAGTGGCCTTGCAATGACATCTGCCAGCTCCCTCAGCACTCATGGGTGCATCCCCTGAGGGCCCATAGGCTGATATATATCCAGTTTGCTTAAGTGTTCCCTGACCTTATCCTCATACTCCTTGCTCCAGCCTTTCCCCCTGCTCTCTGAGACCTGGGACTACTGAAAACCAGTCTTGCTAGTAAAGACTGAGGCAAAGAAGGCATTCAGTACCTCAGCCTTTTCCATGTCCTGTGTAACCAGGTCCCCTGTCTCATCCAGCAGTAAGCCCACATTTTCCCTAGTCTTCCTTTTGTCACCTACGTACTTACAGACTTCTTGTCTTTGACATCCCTGGCTAGATTCAATTCCATTTGGGCTATAGCTTTCCTAGCTTTGTCCCTGGATGCTTGGACAATGTGTTTGTATTCCTCCCAGGTTACCCATCCTTAATTCTACCCTCTGTGTGCTTCCTTTTTGTGTCTGAGTTTGGACAGGAGCTCCTTGTTCATCCAGTCAGGCCTCCTGGCGTTTTTGCCCGACTTCCTATTCATTGGGATGGAACTCTCGAGCTTGGAGGAGCTGATCATGAATACTAACCAGCTTTTTTGGGCCCCTCTTCCCTCCAAGGCCTTATCCCATGGGACTCTTCCAAGCGGTTCTTGAAAAGGCCAAATATGTTCTCCTGAGGTCCAGGGTTGTGAGCTTGCTTGCCACCCTCCTCCCTGCCCTCAGGATACTGAACTCCACTATCTCGTGGTCACTGCAGCCAAGGCTGTGTTTGACCTTCACATCTCCAGTGAGCCCCTCCTTGTTTGGTGACTATGAGGTCCAGCAGAGCACCTCTCCTTGTTGGCTCCTGTAATTACTTGGAGGAGGAAGTTGTTGTCAAAGCACTGCAGGACCCTCCAGGACTGCTTATGTCCTTTTATGTTGTCCCTCCAGCAGATATCAGGGTGATGGAAGTCCCCCACGAAGACCAGGGCCTGTGAACGTGAGGCTGCTTCTATCTGTCTGTAAAGGGCCTCATCTGCTTGTTCTTCCTGTTCAGGCAGTCTGTAGCAGACACCCACTATAATGTCACCTTTACCTGTCCTCTCTTTAATCCTAACCTGGAAGCTCTCAGTTGGCTCCTCATCCATCCCCAGGCAGAGCTCCAGGCACTCCAGCTGCTCTCTCACATAAACAGAATGGATTTTTGGTTTTGTTAATTACTATTTTTATATAGATTGTTTTTAGGTTGCTGTGGGGAGAATGGGACAGTCCCAGGATGCACATTGTAAGAGATGACTATACAATACTATTTTTTTCATAAAAATCAAACTTACTAATTCTGTGCCAAACACTCATATTTTTTTGTGACTCAATCCTTCTTGTTGGGTTTTTTTTTTCCTGAGCTCTAGGAATTACTCTTCACTACTCCCAGTGCAAGAATAATGTCAAGGTAGATAAATTACATATTACACGAAGAATAGATTGATGATAGTCTACTAGTCTTCCGAGCTATAAAGTATTTGAGAAATTTTAAAAATACATACGTGGAATATCTTTTGATTTATTCTGGTCAGATACGTTTTTCATCAGTTGTTCCTATTTAAAGACTGCTTAACTACCATTACCAATAGTGTCAAGTAATATTTTTATGTATTTAAAAGTTTTTGCTTTTGTGTTCAGTTTGATACGTTTTTCACGTATTTTGTAAGTGTTTGTGCAGCCAGCTTTTCTGACCATTTTGTTTATCTTCTGTACTGTGCATTTGTATTGATTAGGGTTATTGTATGTGTTATTACATACAAGTAGATGACCTTGACTTGATTATAATGTTTAATTCCTTTTAAAATTTTCTTCTAATTAATATTCTTATTAGTCCTTTTAATGGTCTGTGAAAGGAAACCTGAGTAATAGTGCAGTTTCTTTCAATTATCTTCCCAATGGTATAAAAATATGAACTGCATAAGTTACTCAATTTACATGCACTTAGGGGAATTTTCTTACCAGATATTCCAATGTTTCATCTTGGCATAAAAAGCATTCCAGAAATGTAAAATTGGAGAATAGTTTCTGGAGAGGAAAGGACCATTTTTAGCTTAGTGTTGTTTCTGTAGGTCCCACAGGCAAATCTGTTTTGACTTGCTGAATGTTTTTGTGTAGAATTATAAAAGTAACTGTAATATTTTAGTAATTAAAACAAAGATACTGCTGAGTTGTGTAGAAAGCGTGACTCAAATAGAGGCCTGTGCACACAGGACTTAGGCATCAGGAAAGCAAGTTGAAGAAGCTCAGCGGAAATCTAAAGTCTGTACTTCCATGAAAACTGTTACTTGCATCTGCTATAAACTTTGCCAAGTAAATTCTGTTTAACAAAATCTTACAAAGAATCCTTTGAAAAGTATGAAGTTCCAGCTCTGTACATACAAATTATATAAGAAACAAGAGTTTCCCTAGAATGATTTATACTGTGATTGACAATGGTTGATTGCAGGCCGGCCTTTTTGTGTATTACACATCTTTAACTAAAATCAGAATTTCTTTTTGATGTGTTAGCACAAATACATGAGATGTTTGGATGAAAATATCTCTCTAATAAAATTCCATATGGCAAAAATTAACTTGTTACTATAGGAGAATCCCGGTAATAAAAAATTATGTATTGGCTATTTATTTAGAATTTTTATTTCATTTTGCCAGGTACCAAGTGGAAGATGAGTCCTCTCATTTGGATGAAATGCCACTAATGATGTCAGAAGAAGGCTTTGAAAATGATGAGAGTGATTACCATACTTTACCAAGAGCCAGAATTTCTCAGAGAAGAAGAGGCTTAGAATGGTTTATCTGTGGTGGCTGGAAGTTCCTTTGCACTAGGTTTGTTGCAGACCAGTAGTTTTTATTAAACTATTAAATTAAGTAAATAGTAACTGTGTATTGTGTGATATGCGCAGAGTACAGGAACATGATAATTTGCTTGTCATGCACCTTTTGATTGCTTTGCCTGCATTTTCCCTACTAGGACATTACCAGCTGTTAATAAAAAAAAGTTCTGAAGAGCTGCTGCTGTGTAGTTCTCCTGTCTGCTTTGCTGACTTGCAAGAAAAAGAGAGGCTTTTAAGAGATACCATGTACTAAACTTGTATTAGTATGAAGTCCATAATATGGCGGCATATAAGCCTGGTCCTCACTTCTACTCAAAACCACATCAGGGTAGAGGGGTTAAAACTTTTTTTTACTTTTGAGGGCATTAGTGTGTTAAGTTGACAATATATAAATTTTATTGATGTTGCTGAAAAGAAAAAGCAAATTCATTAACTAATGACTAGTTAACACTTCAACTTTTAAAGGCTAAAGAATACCTGTAACTTGCGGCCTTAGAGTGAATTACCGCTGGAATTAGCTCTTGTGATTTCTCATTTAGCTCTTGCGAGTTCTTATTTAGAAACTTTGTGCTAAACTCTGCTGTATGCAGTTGCCTTGGAATAGTAACTTTCTAATGAATTGCTAGCAAACTTCTAAATACAGAAATTGCTATTAGGATGATTAAGAATCATGGGGTTATTCTATCTTGAGTGATAAAATCTGAGAATCAGTCAAGTGAACTGAGTGAAGCATTTTCAGTGAACTTAAATGATGAATGCTTTTTTTGGCAGATGATTTTAGAATTGATTTAGATAGAAGTTTTCACAGGTGGTTTTCATGGCACTCAATAAATTCCAAGAGGCCTGATGCTGTTGTTTTACCTGAGGAAAGCTATATTTGTGCACCTTCAGTTTTGAAATAATTTTGTTATACAGCTTTACTATTTGCAGAAAAATACAATCTGTGTTGATTTCTTTTTTCTGTAATGATATAACAAAAACTCATGGATTATTAATTTTATTATAGGAAATAAGTGAGTGGAAAGTAGCAGGTAGGAAAGTAGCGAAGTTTACAGAAGCAGCGTTTGTATATGTAAATGATTTTTGGAAGCAATGTTTCTGTTACAGAACTACCATTGTAGTTTTTAAAGAAACATTTTTAAGTATTTGAAGAGGCTGTTAATCTTTTGGACATGTCTTAAAATTGAGATACATTTCAAAAAATATATTTCAGGTGAGTTCAGCTTTTTGAGTATTAGTGAGTATTACTTACTGTGATTACATTCCTGTAAGTTTCATGAAAACAGGTAGACCAGTAAAGACTGCACCCTGTAGTTGCCCTGACAGAGAATTTAGTGTTTGGATAGAGGCAGGCAATTGCAAGATGAGTTTATGTTGGAACTAATTAACAATCGTAAGAGAATGTCACAAGAAAGTGTCATTAATGCTGAGGACTGCAAAATTTCATGTTCTTGCTTGCTTTTTAAAATTGATAGGCACATCTCAGCTTTAAGTGGAGCTCAAGCCTAGAAACTTTAAAACTTATTAGACCTTATTAATTAAAATACTCGAGCCATATTTCTGATGGACTTTTGAGAATGAAAAGAGCAAGGAAATTGCATTATAGATTCATTATTTTGCTACGTCTTACACATATTTTACTGCTAATGCAGGTATGTAAAAGAAAAGCCCTCACTAAGAAAGAGGCCTTAGAGGACTATGACTTCTGCTTTGCTGATTTCCTCAACTGAATTTGGATACAATAAAGAGTCCGTTCAGTCTTGTATTTATACCTAGAGGCGTTTTAATCACATTAGTGTTTTCTATAACAGAACATCATAGCAGATAACTTTCATTTTTCATGGAAAAAATAAAATCTCTATTTAAAAAAAAAATTACCACCAGATCCTAGTAGAAGCTTGAAATTTCAGTAGGGTATTAGCAGGCAGAGGATACTTGCACAAGAAAGGTGCAGACATCTGCTTAGATGAGATGGGGAAAATTAACTGGAGGGAAGGTGAATCCCATGGCATCTTATCTACTGGTCCAGTCAGGCTGGATAAAAACCTCAGCTTGGATGAGCACTTCTGAGTGAGTATGTAAATACCCGTTGTGGTGATAGGGAGGTTTCTTCTTGGCTGAGAGCACCACTGAGGCTTTGTTACTGATAAAAGTCAGGGATGTGCAGTCAGTGCTAAGTTATTCTTTTTGCTGGTTTCTCATTATAATAAAACTTTATGAATTTTTGCTGGGACCCACAGAATACTAGAGTTTTTGAAATGTCTATTTGCAGTTCATAAAGTTGCCTAAGATCATGCAAAAGATCACACAGGAAACCTGGAGGCTACTATATTGTCATACAAGCAGTTATTACTTACACTGTGTAGTAGAATGAGTTACACTGTTTTTATGTGGTGTAAAGTATCAGTTCGGGATAGAATTGGGTGTTGATGCCTTCACACTTGAAATGGAGAGGAACACGTGGGAAAACAATTTTCATGTGTGTTGATGGTGGATTATACATGTTATGCAAACAACTGAAACTTTATTTCCAGAAGGCAAACGGCATTCGTTTAAGTGTAATGTGAGATTAAATACAGCATAGCAGTCTGAAACCTGTTCAGTTGAATAGAATTTAAAATTTCACCCTGTTTTTATGGAAATTAGTATCTATACCTGAGACTGGGTGAGGCTGAAATCTCAGCTTCCACATCCAGAATTTCCTTTTGTGCTTTAAACTAAATTGTAAATTTTTCAAAGCTGTGACAGAAAGATGAACACAGTAAAAGACTAGGCATTTGTCTGGAGCCGAGCTCAGGGGGCCCCTGATTTCTTTTGGGTTCTCAGTGAAAGTCTTGTGTTTGTGTTCAAAATCACTTTACTTGTTGCAAACAAACAAAAACGCCCCATACCCACTAGGGGATTTTTTTCTGTCTTGCATTGTTAGGATTAATCTCACTTTTGTGAGAGTAAGTTTTCCGTCTCTTACTTTGCAGCTTTAGAATTTTATATTCTATAGATTTTTGTTGCTACATCACAAACTTACTGTTTAGTTGAAAAAATTTCACCCTTTTGGCAGGAGCAAATATGGAAGGTGTGACAAAGTTCACTGTACATTAAAATTGATTTTGTAAAAAATCCTTTATTCAGCTTTTAACTTCTGTTTAGACAATAGATTTCTTGATTGGAACTGAATGGTGTGAACTTTATTTGCAAATCTGCAGCTCTTTAAACAGTTTTTGCATTTGCAAGAAAAAAATCATAACTTAAATGTTGCCTTTGTTTTTGAACAAACTGAAGACTTAATTCAACCAATATAACTTTTAACTTCAGAAACTGCTTATTTCTTGCTTTCATAGCACAGTTAAAAGAAAACTTTGTGGTATAGCAGCTGTTTTGTGGCTGTAATCATTTTCCCTTTAACTTACAAATTCTCTTCAAGCTTGTGAAATTATAATGCACATAGATCAATACTCTGGAGTTCTTTGGGCTGGATTGATTTCTTTCTCATGAGATTTACATTCCACTTGTTATCAAAAAACACTTTGTCCCTATGAAAATGGTGCCATTGAATGGCATTTCCATATGAAGTGAAGGGGATATCAAATGCTCGGATTAATTTGGGCTCTAAGATGGCCTGTACGCTTTCAATTAATCTGCAACGCATTTGTTATGCAGAAGCATGGGAAAATGCTGATCTTTTAAGAATGACATGACCACTGTGTTGCTTTTGGCCTGATTACTGAAGCTACCTGTTGAGTACAATAATTACAGTATGTTTTCTTTGCAGAACTAGTTTCTGCTACTTAAAACCTAATAAGGAAAAGCTGACCCTTGCAGACAATATAGAGCTTTTATATTATCTTTCCATTCTGATGAAAATGCTGTTTTGTGAAAGATACTGGCAGTTAAGCTTGTAGGATAAAAGTAATGAAAAGAGAAAATAAAAAAAGCCGTTATTATTAGAGCTGCAGAGTCAGTTGAGACTTTTACTTTAGCTTTTGACTTGGAGAGATACGCTCTATTTATGAAAAAGTTAAGGGTTCTTATTTAACAATTACTCCAGTTTTGTTTTGTTTTTTTTTTTTAATATGGCATCAGTCACTAATATGAAGACTGTGGTTATTGTTCCTTCAAATAAAAAAAAGTATGTTAGGAAGCAGGTTGGTAAAAAAAAAAAAAACATTTAATAGATACACCTTAAAGTTCTCTTATCAATTAGTTCATTTCTTCATATATACAATCTGTTGTATTGATATAGGCAACATGGCTTTTAGCTAGCTTAAGAAAAAAAGCTTGCTGTGCGTATGTTGAATTTTCTAGGTAAGGACGTTTGAAACAAATGCTTAAATCAATAAACAAGAATGTGATTTTTTTTTTAATCGTTCAATCCATAGCATAAGGTGTGGTTTTTACATTAAAGATTTCAGGAAAATCTTGATCATGCTACATCTTACATTATGTTTTTAGGATATTTGAAGCTCAGAGAATGCTATTCTGATTTATCTCCTGACGTTTGTTTCACACAGATTTAGTGGGTACAAAAAGCCCATGAAAGGGTCCATACCCTTGCACAAAAATAGTTTCTGTATTGGGGAATGTTAATTTGAGAACAGATGAAGTACGTGTTGAGTGTTGATAATCTGAGTTTCAAAAATACCGGGTAGACTTCATTGTTCTTAAAAATCTGAATTAATGTAAATTGACTAGGATTTCTGAGGCCAGCACATCCACCTCTTATTCTTCCTGTGATATAACAGTGATTACTACTGAGACTGTAAATGGCAAAATCTAACTGATTTTTACTTTTAAGGTAGTAAAACTCATCTGAACCATTACGATACTGATTTGGGCATAACCTGTAATATTTCCATCATCTGAGATATTCTTGTGTCTGAGAACTTGAGTGTTGTTAGCTCTGTGTCAGTCAGATCCCTTTTATCGAAGGTATCACAGTTGTTTCCCAGCCAGACATCATTCTTGTGTCTGTACTTTTTGGCATTTGCTAAACTA